ATGCCATGCAGAATGAAAACTAATATCTTAAAGAAGCGGCGCGCAAAGGTAGCGCAAGCATCACAGGGCGGATCGCAATCTCAATACATTATCGCATGTACCAAGGCTTCAATCACTTTATTTGGTGCTCCGTTTGCACTGATTGTACCCAGGGCCATGCACGCCGCTCCGCTGATCTCATAGTCATAGTCGTATATGGCGTGCATGAGGGTGTGAATCACCTCTGCCGTTGGTGCTTGTTTACCGATGTTACCGAGAGCCTTGTACGCCGCCAAACGAATATCTCTATCTGCATCTGCAGTGGCTGTGATTGTTGTTGATAATAGTTCTGGAATAGAATTAATCATTGAATGCAAGCGAAGAAATCACATTACTTTGTTCATCTCAGTTTCCAAGAACATTTTGCAGCACATTGCTTTTGACGGGTTGAACGTGTTTTGTGATGATTTTAATTAAATGTTTTTGTAAGAGTGAAGAATTAACAACTGTTTGAGAACGGTTGAGGGATTGTAAAAGCATTGTTGTTATTTCTTTTTCATTAATATGCATACAAATATTTATCCATCGTAATATTTCTTTTATATAATATGGACGCTTAAAAAATACTGAGGGGTCAACGAGTTCATTGATGCATTCAATGATTAATTTGGTGTGACTGATGCCGGCAAGATCAAAAGGCTTATCCTGTATGATATCCCAAAATACGTCGATCAATTTCTTATAAGCAATTTCTACGAGGAGTCCAGATGCAAAAACGAGTACAAGACGGAAGCGGTAGTTGTACCTGTTTCGTTTGATAAAATCCTTTGCTTGTCGTTTTTCACCACTGCTGAGCATGTGAAGTAGGCGATGTGCTGCAAAATGTTCTTGGAAACTGAGATGAACAAAGTAATGTGATTTCTTCGCTTGAATTCGAGAGCCAAAAGATTTGTCGTCGTATGATTTAAGAATTCCCAAATTTGATAATTGTTTATTGAGATGTACGGAGGCACGAATTTCGTTTTGTGCCTCTTCCATCAGTTCTGGCGGCAACAGAATAATGTCGTTTTCCATCGCTTTGAAAGCCAAATGTTCTAAAAATTTTAATTCTTGTTTGCATGTCTCATAAACATCTAACTTCAGCATATTTACATGGGCTATGTTTTGTCTAGTTAGGTAGCGTCGACATTACCATTCCGTTATATTATCGTACAACGACGTTATTGTTAAAACCTTCTTCTCTGACCAATCACTTTCACTCCAAAGACTGCATATCAATTCAAGATTCACAGGAATATGGGCAACACCCCAATGGTTTGAGTTCGACTTTAAAAATTGTAGAAGTTTCTGACATTCGAGTGAAGCACCTTTTTCTTGATTTTGCTTTTGATCAAAGAACTGCTCAGCATACTTGGTAATATTGTCATCTGTGAAACCGATGATTTCCATTTTTACATCGTATTCAAATCGAATAGCAAAGGGTCGTGAAGTCAAGATATGATGCTGTGTCTGGCATATATGATCGAACACGTCTCTTAAGTGCTCTGAAGTGCTTTCAGCAAATTCATCGTAACCGTCTAATATCCAAAGAACACGATGTTCTCGACATAGTTCCTGGAAATATCGTATCTGCTCGTTCGACAAGTCCTCGCATGGGTAATATTCATTCTCTAAAAGATGACGTAATGTATATTTTGTACCCGTCGGATAGCGAATAATTGTCAGCTTTCGTAAATAAATCAGAAGAACGAGAGCATACTCGGACCAAATTTCACCTTTGGCCCAACGAAAAGTAGCATATTGACAAAATGTTGACTTGCCGATTCCAGCTCGTCCAAGTACAAGCACCTTCTTTATCTGATCTGTGCACTTATTAAATATTTCTTCCATAGCAATTGGGCTCTTGGTGCCATAAATTTCTTCATAAGTGCCAAGAATATTAGGGTTGTATGTTTTCGAACTAGAATCCTGTTCATCCTCTCGTTCTTGCATCTTTTGAGACCTTCTTAATTTCTTCTCTTTTTCTTGCTGCTCTTTGGTTTGTACCATGGCCAAATTAATGTAGCTCTGTTCAATTGTAAAGCTTTGTTCAACCATCATACGTTTGATTAAGTTGTCACTCAGGTACTTTTGTCGAACAGATTCAAACAGATTTGATGGTGATTGCATCGATTGATCGATGCGAGTTGCAGGTTCATTCTTTATTCGGTCGATCAAATTCCTCGCTCTAGCCAGTATGTTCGCTTCGGAAGTATCCGAGAAGTCTATAGCTAATTTAGAGCCAGTAATCAAAGATAACCATTTTGACGGTGTTGGCTTCCATACTTTTCTGTTAATAACCATGCATGGAATGATTCGTTTACCAAGGCTTTGCGCATGCTCCAATTCAAGTTGACAATTTCGGGAATTCTCATACTCAGGTGATATAAAGCAGCAAACAACTGAAGCATCGTTTACCGCCTGGGCCATACTAGTCATTAGGAAAAATAACTATTGGCTTCCAAAGGATTATTATCATACTACGATACTTACTCATTATATAATTCGTCGTGCATATCTCTAGCATCAAACCATGCAGGAATATTTGCAGCTATCAGCGTATCGTATACTGCTTGGACGGTACTTTTGCTCTTGTGGTTATATGACAGCATAACGTGTTTTCCTTCATTGAGAGCCATGGGTAAGTCTATGATAATTCCCACAAAAATAATATTCAATAGTGATTAGTTTCTAAAAAAATTCATTTGGAACGTTTTGTAATACATATGTATTCTACTATGCAGACAACAACAGATTTATCAGTGAACTGGCAGTATGCTACTGGATCTTTGTTTACACCAGTAAACAAAGGCCTCAAGCTTAGTAAACAATGCTGGATGTTCAAAAAGTTTCCATAAGTTTAGTGCAAATATGAAGTGCATAATATCTTCTGATAGAAAGTTATATCCATATTATGATCGAGTATTTCGAAACATATTTGATTTGATTATAACAAAAAAAAACATTATATAATATTAATAAAAATTATTGCATTAAAATAATGCAAATCGTTGAAAACTAATAAAAGTAATGAAATATTTCTGATTTCTCAATATTTAACCAACTTGATGAGATTAACTCTATCAAAGGGTCAGAAAGTAATATTTATATGAAATTAGTACAGTTATTCGATTTACTAGGGCAAAAAATCTTCTATTTGCGTCGTACATAGAATATTTACGAATAGTGACGATTAAATTCAAAATTGAATTGTGATTTCAAATGATTGGCAACGTTGAAGGTGCAGACTTGGGATGGATGCAGGTTTGCACTTTCATTTCACCTGCATCAACGCCATTGTTTACATTAACCTTTTTTTGGGTCCTTATAAACACTGGTCGTAGTTCGTTGTAAAGCATCGTTTATAACTGCTGTAAATGAATACCGCAAACGATTTATGTGTACGATACCATACGATATTTTATCTGATCAGCTTATGCAGTCGCTGAATTACTGCGATCATCGGTGAGGGCAACTTTTTTGAATCATTCTTTGCAATGTTCACCACATGTCATAAACTATCTTTTACGATCTCTGTAAGCAATTATAACAAACCGCTAATGTATGCAATGCCTTACGATATTTTTCAGGCAGCCTATAGATTTGCCGTTCACGACTGTAATACGCTAAAAAGTGTAGACGATGATTATTGAAAATGGCTGACTCAAACAATTGTCGTTATCCTCCATAGTTCATTGCTATACAGCAATGTACGACCGAGCATAACTGACTCGAGTAAACTTTCATTGACTTCTCTATTAGTACAAGGTAGTGCAAAAGTCACTTTGCCAAAAAGAAAATTGAATATATGCATTGCGACTTGAATGAACTAGCTGATCTTCTAATCAATGATAGATGGATTTTAAGGATTAATATCCAACAAGATATGCTCAGAAGGCTTCTCTGTTAATTATCATGATTGATCAAAACAGAGAAATCTTACCATTTGTAACAGATACACAAGGCAATACTTAGCAAAGACCTCTCTGGCTATGTCTCTTTTCTGTTATACAATCTGAACATGTCTCTAGCATTGATAAAAGAATCAGTCAGTTCGCTCGAATCATACTAGACGTATCCTATTCATTTTACGATTAAGTAGGATTTGTACCATCCTCTATATTGTTCTTTTCTTGTTTGTGAGAAATTGAAATTCTTTTGTTGAGACTGATAGTGGTATCTAAAAACGGTTCATTCGCGCCTTGTCTTCATGAATATGGACTGTGAACATGCCTTTACTAGTGATAAAAATGTCAGCCTGCTAGCTAGCGCCATCATATAGATAATTAATGCTTTTTTTTGGTAAAGTGATTTTTGCTTTATTCTATACCTGTTTGAAGAAGTTTCATCGATACCTGTATACGTTCGGAGATGTTGTGGTGGGTATGAGTGACGATGAAAGAAGAATTGTATTGGTAAATACACGCATCTATGCTCACTCTTGAACTCTTGTTACTTTTCCGCCACAGTTGTTGAGTTGTGCAGCAGCAAAAATCAGCAAAGTTGTGCCGGAGAGAAGAAAAGGAAAGGAATTGATCAAAAATTGAATCGATTTGAATATAAAACTCACCCATTCATTTTTTTCTGCTCATACTAACTGTAAAGTTTTTGAAATCCAAATAGCTTTTGACTGATTCTCCAGTGGGCAAGAACTGATTAATAAATACTTCAAAATCGTAGAGCAACTGTTAATGCCACTACGACTATCGGTCGGAGGAACGTGATCTGCTCATTATTTTCCTCTCAGTTTTAACATTCATAAATTTTCAACTAACGTCTGCTTTAGATAAAGATTCGTTGAAAAGTCTCGATCTCTCACTAAATTAGTGATATCTACAACAAACTTGCATGGGTATATTAATCAAATTATGCTATCTTGTAGAAGAAGACAAGAACTATACCCCGAAAAATATCTGGTTCGAAATGTCTAAATCCATCAAAACTTTTAGTCATTTTACCGATTTTGAGTTAAAATTTTTACGCAACATTATTTTGGAAAAACAAAATGCATCGATAACATTTTAAGCGAGACAATTGTTTTTCTGGAGATTTTAGCAGGATTCGATTGAGTTTGACAAGCTGCTCGATAAAACAAATGTTTTGAAAACTTGTCATGCTTTTTCTGTATAAAATTTGAGACAAATTAGGAAAACAGATAAAAACTTTATGCATGAAATATTAGCGAAAATAAACTGAGCTTTCAAAAGTCTAACGAAAGCCTGTTGACTGTTGCATCATTCCTGGAAGTTGTAAAACATTATATTTAGTCTCACTGTGTGGCAGTAAATCTCGAGAAATAAACAAAAAAAATCGATCAACTCAAGTTTTTAAAATTTAAGCCTATTCTTTTATAGAAGATATGAAATAATTTCATTGTTTTTTTTTTGATTTCGTTCGAGTTTCATATAGGAAAAACATAAAAGTTTTAAAAACATTTGTTTTATCGAAGAACTTATCAGACTATATCGATAGCATAATTTGATCAACATCTTTGTAAAATTTTGTTCTAAATATTATTAATTAAGTGAGAGGCGTCAAAACTTTTGAACCAATCTTAATCTAAAGCAAACGTTAGTTGAAAGTTCATGAATGTAGGAATAGTGAAGAAAATAGTGAATAGTTCTTGTTTCTCCGAGTGATAATGGTAGCGAAATTCATAGAGTGTGACTGTAAGTGTGAGTATCGTCTTAAGCTACGCCTACATTCTATTCGATTAGATAAGTAATAGGTAACCAAATTTTGAGTGTATCGTCTTTCAGACTATGGTTGAAACTAATAAAGATGATTAAGGTCAAACCAATCGTTTCTGACTACTTATCAAGAAAGGTATGCTTATATTTTCAGTACGTATAGTTCTTAAAAAACGGTATTTCCAAGTACAGATACCAGTTTCGCTTGCTAGTCCTATAAGAAAAGATTACATGCCGAATTACTAAGAATCAGGAAATGCGCTATGTGTTGCAAAAACTGGGAATTCACATGTAGTTTCTGGTTCTCTGGAGCTTCTTTGTCGTTTAGGGTGTCTTGAAATAGAAGTCACTTGTGAATTCATTTCGCAAAGAAACCAAGATTATCTAGTGAACGATGGAAAAACAAAAGAAAATGGATCTAGAAGTTTCAGATGTTTGAGAATGCAGAAAAGTGCATGATTAAATATAATCATGTTTTTCAGAGTTCGAGGCTTCAAGAAGTGAGAACATTGACATTCCACTCCAAAAAAACTGTTCACCAAGTATAATTATGATAAGTAAATGACGCTATGCAACATCACAAAGTAATAAGGAGTGCAATATATGAAATGCTTTTATCGAAGGTTAAAACTCTCACTTCTGCTTTTTGTTTATGCGCAACAAGTTTTGTCGTCAAATAAAATTTTAGAGAAATCAACTGCTTTTTTTAGTTAGAAGAACGGCAAATGTTTATTTTGTGTTCTTATTACGAACTTAAAACATCTCAATTTTTCAGAAAAGGAGAGCTCATCAATACTCGTCGAGTTGTTCGTTCTCTGCCATCATTCCTACGAAATAAATTTTCTTTCTTTTGCTAGAACACTTAGTCGCTATGTGTAAAGTTGTTGACAAGGCAAATGACAACCTTCATTTTGGTATTGAAAATGTTTTTTCTTCATAGTTGAAAGAAAATTTTTTTGTCGGAAGACGTGTTCTTCTATACCTGTAAAGGCAGTCTATTGTAGCTTGACAGACATCGCTTTCTATAAGCAAACCCTTAAGTTCTAACAATTAGCAACGGCATATCTATAACTTATCGGTAATACTGCTATATTAGCTATCAAAAGTTTCTAGCCTGCTAGATTTTAGCTCCCATTGATACTGAAAGTCTGAAAATTTCTGCGTATACATTCCACCAAGACTATAGAGGGTGTCATTGTCAGTGTGCATCCAAATTTGATCGTTTCACGACAAATGGGCGTTTGAGGGTGTGAGTGTACTAAA